TCTTGATGCCTTTGACTGGAGCCCATCCAGTGGGCCGGATGGAGAGAAGATACAGAAGAGAGATTGAAATGATGATGGGTCAGTATGGTTTGCGAATGAGACATAACCATTAGCAGGAAAAAAAAAAGAAAAAAAAAAAAGGAATTAAACTAAAGATGTACCTGTAACTAGCAAAATAAAAGTTAACAATGCTGATGGTTGGCTATAGGAAAATCAATTCACCTAAAATAACATGGTAATAAATTGCAGTGTTTAAGAATTCAGGACTGAAACAGGATTACAGCTCTAGAAGCAAACGTGCAGAAAAGTGAATTGTGTATAAAATTACTCCCTTTCCTCCCATACAGTGCGGCTGTCTGATACTGCATTAGTTTGCAAAAAAAAAAAAAAAATAGCCCTTATTTAGGTACCACGTGATTATCTTAAGCAGCCAGACAAAACTACTGCATAACACCTTATGGCCTTTCAGGCCAACAGAATAAAAAACCTAATGAGGTACAGAGCTCCCTCGGTTCCTACATTAGTCAGCAGAACAGGAGTCTTTCAGGGCATAGTTACCATCTGTAAAACACGAATTGCAAAATTTATTATTTTATTTCTCCTATATAACTTAGGTTTTCCAGAATAAAGATTTTACCACTGGGCTTTCAATACCCATAACCAAGAAAGCTGAGGTCAGCTCTCCTGCTTCGCAAAGCTGCAGCTTTAGTACTTTCTTTATCATTTTTTTCTCTTAATAGTGTGAATTCCTGATTGTGACTGAGCCAATGAAAATTGTACTTGTCAACGTGCTTCAAAAGCAAAGTTAGAGGTTCATTATCTTGTCACATATTTAAAAATAAGATGTGTTTACCTTGCACAGAACATTCCTGAACAGTGCTAAAATTACATCATGAGCCTCTGAACAGATGCAAAGCAAGCAGGTATTTTATTTCAAGTTAAGAAAATAGCAAAGATATTTTTTGTGAGGAAGGAAAGTTAACAGATTGTCTAAAGTTACTCCCCAAATTATCCAATTTTATGGGGAAAAGATTAGCCTGAATCAATTTTATGCTCTGAAAAAACAATAAATGCCTTCTTCTGTTTCTGCTAAAGCCTCTGGAAATCTCTGATTAGTTTCACTGGAAGTTTACTCAAGTAATAGTGAAGAATTAACAATTAAGAAGAATAAAATAGTTTGACACAGATCCATTCACTAGTAAAGTTTTTACTTTAGCCCTTTACAACACTAGATACTTTTCTCAAGAACAAGTTAAATTGAAGAAAGGGAATTTTGTTTGGTTTGTTTGGGGTTTGATTGAGAAGAGAAGAGAAGAGAAGAGAAAAGAGAAGAGAAGAGAAGAGAAAAGAGAAGAGAAGAGAAGAGAAGAGAAGAGAAGAGAAGAGAAGAGAAGAGAAGAGAAGAGAAGAGAAGAGAAGAGAAGAGTTAAATAGATTGTTTCTTACAATGAACTTTACTATTACTATTTTACTTATTATTTATTTATTTAGTTTTTCAAACTAACACATGGTAAGAAACTTTGAAGTAACTCTGGGTTCATTTTATCCAGGATCTAATAACTTTTAAATCCTTATCTTTATTCATATCTCATTGTCATCTAAAAGATGAGAGCCACAGGAAGTAACAGTTTGGGTATGCAAATCCTTCTGATATGTTCAGTATGTTACCCCTAGACTTAGGCTTCTTTCGTTCTTCGTTTTTGTCACTTCTGCCTTTATTCCCCCTTTATATTGTATAAAACAGTATTTCAGTAGCTAGGTACTTAATTAAGGCCAACAATAACACAAAAATAAAGGGAGAAATGGAAAAAAAGATCTGATGATACTGATATTTCATTAGAAGTGCAGAAATTATGGAACTGTATAAAAAGTGGATATTGCAAGAAAAACATTATTTAATTTATGAGCCTACAAAGACAAAACGGTAGCATACTGTAAAAATGAATTATTAAATGCCTGCATTGGCAACTCTTGCCTTTTTATTAGTAATTTCAAAGCGGAGATCTCAAGTTTCATTTGCCAACAGGAGTAATTAAATTATTAATAACCAGGTGGTCTTTGTAGCATCACAGAGACCACAGGCTTTTAAAAATATAATATTTAACACTCCAAAGCTACAAGGTGCCCTTTGTGGAGAAGAGAGCTCAGCGACAATTCAAGCAGTGGATTTAGGTGCTGCACACCGAGTAACTGCAGCTGAGTTGGGTGCCAAGTTACTTTACCCTGAGAAAAGTGGGTGGAGAGCAGCTGCCTCCTAAGGAAACAGCCATCAGAGGGCTTTGTGGAAAGATGCCCACACACTGAAGGACTGAAAAAAGAAAAACAGAAGTAGTTGTTAGATCAGAATCTTCTGATCTCATCTCAAGCGCCGAGTTGCTTGATCGCAACACCCAGGCTCTCGCTTTCTCTTTGCTGCCCTGGCATTCCTCAGTGTTTCCTGGTAGGTGGTGCAGGTTCAGCTGAAGAGGTGCAGACTAACACTGATCAGAACCGCCTGATAGAAGGGATACTTTGGAAGCATGGGGGATGAGAAAGACATTAATAGTGGGGCGACTCACTGCTTGGATGGAGCGGCTCAGTGGTCTCAGCTGGGCTATATGGAAAGGGGAAAGACGTCAGCTCCTCTTCCTCCCCTCCCCACGACGGCGCTGAACAGGTTGACGGAGGACACCTAGCCCACTAAAGCATGTTTTCATGGGAGGCAGGTGAAGTAAAGCGTCCTGTGAGGACGAGCATCCAAACAGGAGTTTTGATAGTTTGGAGAAGCTTCTAGTTGCAGGCCAAAGCCCAACCAAGCCATGTGAACTGCACTGACGACAAGCAGAGCGCCAGCAGAGCGGGACAGCGGTGCCAAGCCTGGAACCTGGGGAGTTGGGTGCCCATCAGCTGCAATTATGCCTCACCTTAGACTTTTCTGGCATTTTATGGTGCCATACCTTGGTCAAGGCCATTGTTTGCAAAGGGCAAATATCCTTACATTAGAAATCAGCAAAGAGTTTTCTGATAATATAATAATTATTAAGTATGGGGACAAGGGTGGTATAAGATCTACAGGCTGGAAGTTGAAGACAGCAAGGTTCAAACAGAAAATATGTCAATTTTTACTTAAATTTACTTAGAAATTAAAATTAAACTTACTTAAAAATCAGAACAGATCATTAAAGAATGGAAGAGATTTAGAACTAATTGGATTGCACAGATCGAGGTCACATGCCTTTTTAGAAGGAGATAGTAAACCACAGCTCTGAAAAGCAGGAATAAAAATCCCTATTTGAAATTCCACAGATGATGGTTTCATAGATGGTATATGATTGTATCATTCCTTCTGACCTTGAAGTCTACAAATCCATGAGAAATTAAAAATACATTTTGGACCGAGTTTCAACTCATATCTGCAATACTAATTTATCTGAGACAGATTTTCATCAGCCGCTTCCTCAGATGAGTATCAGTCCCATTCACTTCCCTTTCCCTCATACGATATAATGGAATATAAACATATTTAATCAATCTCTGACTGAGAGCAATGTTTAAGCATAAACTTAAGCATAAAACTGAAGCTATTTCTTGTTCAGACAAGGGAAATTCTCACTACAAGCACTTAATGTATTTCATCTGTTACCATCGCTTGAGGCAGAAGGTGTAGGCATTGATTAGCAGCTTGCCGTGGAGCCACATACTTCTACTTAGAGGGAAAAACAGCATTTTTCTTTTTTAGAAACTACAGTTTTGTTATCTGGATGAGAGCTTCAGAAATATACCCGATACAAACAGAAAACAAAAAAAAACAAACAAAATCATTGGCTAAATAAAAGGCAGTGCTATTAAAAAGAGGAATTTTTATATATATATATGAAAAAATATATATAATATGCACACAAACGTAAGTGTATGTTGGTGTATACATAAATAACTATATAAGACTACAGATAGTCACAGATTTTGCAGTAGACTTTCATAATAATCTAAAACGGAGCCCAAGGAAAACAAATTTCAGAATCAATGGTCTTCACCTGAACTCTATTCTGTAACTAAAGAGCAAGTGAAGCCTGAGGGGAAATGAACTGGAGCATCCCCATTTGGTTAAAGTAGGAGAAAAAGATGATTCTCTGGGATACAACTACTGTATGAATGTAATAAATGTTCCCTTCAAAATGTCAAAATTAAAATAAACTTCACCCTTAAATGTAAAAATGAATATATTCTCTATCATATTATCTTTTTATATCAATTTTGAAATACCAACACATTTCCACAGAAAAGATCTTCCAAGAATTGCTAAAGATCATTTTATTACAATACTTCTCTTGCTTTAGATAAGCAGTATAATTTTTAAACAACTTTTTGCAAAGACACGTTAATGAAAACAGGTGTGAAAATGTCTCTTCCTGTATGTTTTTTTTTACCCTCCCAGCACTGAAGAATAAGAGTTTTAGCTCTATACCAAAGTACAGTATTCCTGATTTTGCACTAAAATTTTTGACCATATTCAGAAATTCACTACATTCAATACCGTAACTGTCAGTCACGGCTGAAAAAAAAAACTGTGAAGACAGAATGAATGTATATCCTCCAATTCTGTAATGCCATTTTCCAACGTAACAGACAATGGTGAATTTGCAAATCCTAGCTCCTAAACCCAAGGACTTCGAGCACTGGCCACGAATAATTCATTAATTTAAAATATTTGCCTTTACCATTTAATCCAGCTTACCTGCAGGCCTCTCACTGATTGTCAACTTTTCTTTTTCATGCTGTTAAGGTGTTTCTCCACCTTACCGGTGTTGACACAAAGTGGGTCACTAAGTACCACACAGAGAGGTTTTCGGACCGATGATTTGCAAGTTTAACACGCCCGAAAACTTTGCCTTACCTGATCCGTGACACTTGTGCATTTTACATGCTAAAACAGCACTGGGGCTCGAGAAAGTCCTGCCACAGAGAAGCCAAGCGGAGGCTTCCCGAAGTCAATTCTCCAGGGCTGGAGAACTCAAATTAACCAGGACGCCGGGAAGATGCATCTGGTCCCGGCTGGCGCTCTCCCTCCCCGTGTTACCATAACAAAGTCGGTTCAACCGAAAGGCCATATTGGGAGGTGGAAACAACAGCTTCCAAATGTGCTACATTTTTAAAATTAATGATTTGCTTCTCCCTACGGAAAAGCCAGTATTGCTGCATTGTGACAGGCACTTCTTCAAGAGCCAGATCCTGGAAGGGCTCCTGATTGAGGTCACTGCCTATTTGCAAATACCAGCCTGTGAAAGCGGTAGGTACCCTACTGCCTACACTGCTGAAAAATATACCTATCCTGGCATTTTTTTTTCTTTTTCAACCCTCTGACTTTACTCCTTCTTCTCTCTTGAAAATTATCACACATGCATATGCAGGCAAACTGCCTTCCAGTAGCTTTTTTCAAGCAGTGGGAGAAAAAAAAAAGAAAAAAAAATCTTGAGAGCTAGACATGTGAAAGCAAACAGTTCTTTTGTCGGTTATTAATTATTAACAACAGCAACAAACAGATTATAAGAAGCAAGCATTTCTGTTATTTATACTTTATCCCCCCAGAAAACCCTCCTAACCGCCATTATTCCCAGCATTAGGAAATGGAAAGATGCAAATTCTAGCCATTGTCCAAGGGATTGGTAGAACCCTCTTGAAACGTGGCCTAGGGATCATGAAAACAGGAATAAATGACAGTGCTAAGAAATAAAGGAGAAATGCCACACATAAGACAGAACAGATGCCATTATCTCAGCCCTGATGAACCAGCTAAAAGCAGCATCAGTTTGTTTATCTGAGACAGCATAATATATTCTGTTTAAGAAAAGAAACAAAGGAGCACTCTGCAGTACTGACAAATTTAAGACTATGCCTTGGCATCTCCAAATGCTCTGGATCAGCGCCTTTCTCCAGAAGCAGAGCAAGGGCTGTGGGGCTGCCACTGGCTGATTGCTCCCCCCCTATGCGGCATCCCCGATGCCCCCGAGACAGCTGAATTCCCCGGCCCTCATTTGCCTCATGTTGAGAAGTTCATGGGCCCCTGCTCTGAATAAAAGCAGGGGAAGCAGCAAGGGCAGGATAAAATGGCTCGGCTGCTTCCCTGAGGTGGGACCCTGAGGAATGGAGGAAGGCAGCTATAGGCAGCCAGGTACCTGAAGCTACGTGTGTTCCAGTTAGAAACCTGAGAGTACCCCAATGAAATTAGAGAAGATACATGAAAAGTTCTTTTGTGTGCACGTGTGTTTTTGTTTGTTTGTTTTCTTTTTTTAAGCAGACTCCTGACAGTGAGATAACTGCTGTGGTCTGAGGGTATTTGTTGTTCTAGCCTGCGTTCCAGGTGTAAAGTAGCATCTTTGAGTCTGACCGCATGTTTAAAAAAACAATAACATAGAGAAAAAGAGGAGAAAGAAACATAGTTTTGACAAACTGCAAAGCCCTTAATCACAGTTTGTAAAAATTTAGATTCTTTTCAAACTTTAATTACTCACTGCTGCAGATGTGCAGGCTCTAAGAGATAACAAATAATTAGAAGTGATTCACAGTGTATGCCAAAGTGGTTCTCTTGAGGGATGATGGTTTATTGTTTGCAGTAATGCCACTGTAGATCAAAGGAAAATGCTTCAAATTTTGCCTTTCACAGCATAACAGACACTAGATATGGAAATCAGATCCTTCAAGTTACTCTCTTGCCCACAGTTGCCACCATATGCAACTGAAGCCACATTAGGAGATACATTAAGGGAGGTTTCTACACTCACCCACTACTGCACAGAATTTCTGGCTGAAGGGAACCCTTTTTGAATCAACTCCAAACTGAAGCTCTGTCCACAAATTAACAATCACTCCAACCCTAAATAGCAACAAAACAGGATCATACTCATTACTCATACTTGACTCTCCAAAAATAAAATAACCTCCTGCCACAACAGAATTAACCTCCAAACCTTTCGTAAGGTGCCCAGACTCCAGGCTCCACAGCAAGTTGGACATAAAATCCCCAAAAGTTGGAGAAAAATCTGGAGAGGTTTCAAATATGTTTATTTATAAACAAATGTTTATAAGCAGTCTCAAAATGAAAAGTGCAGTCTGCAAAATGCCTGTCTTATTTAGCTGATGCTGTTCTCAGAATTTCTATTCTTAGCTAACCACAGAAATCTCTGCTTTTATTATCTGAGAGATAACAAACCACAAAGAAACAACTGCCTCAGGAAACAAAACAGAAGCTCTGAGGCATCCCTCAAGTAGGCTACAAATTGTTGTATTTTACAACACCCGTTTATACCAGCTTATGTAAAGTTGCCCAGGACTTTTTGGGTTTACATGAACAAAGGATTTAACTATTAAGAAAAATTAATAAAATAAGCTGAAAAGCAGCCCTGCAAGAAGTTTCTGGGCCAAACTCCCTACCTATCCAGTATGCTTAGACGCACCTGTATCTGTGGACAGCGTCATCACCAGTTTCCTTCAGCTGTTAGGATGCCACACAACTGTCTTTGATGTACCTCACGAGGGAGTTTGGGCTGATGTTTTGGAGCCCAAATTTCACTTCATTTCCAACTGCAGCTTTGCTGATGAGACTGGATGCCCCTGAAGCTTGGTGGTTTAGGAGCTAGACCAAAGCGGTGTCTTTAGTACACCTCATGGTCCAACAAAGGAGGAACTCCAAGGTCAGCAGAGGAGCACCAAGCAAACGCCAGCCACACGGGGTCAGCTGGGATACGATAACTCCTGCCGGGCTGGATCCACCTTTGGAAGCCCTCGGTGCCCGCGCAGCGCTGCAGCTCGCAGTGCAGGAAGGTGCCGCTGCCTCGGGCCTGCGCCGCCCCGGCAAGCGCGGGCAGCGCGGCCTGGCCCCGGCACGTGGGCACGGCAGCCTTGCGGCAGTAAGGGCTCCAGGAAGGAGGCACGGAATTACGGGCAGGTTAGTGTGGACAGAGAAAAGCTACGGCAGCTACGGATGGGAGAACAGGGAAGCGAGGGGGTGCAGACCCAGGAAGAGCAATGACAAGCAA